CACGTGTCATTGCCATCATCCGTGATTGACAAATCAGCAGTTCTGTCAACACTCACGTGTTGTTACCATCATCCGTGATTGACCATTCAGCAGATCTGTCGACACTCACGTGTTGTTACCATCATCCGTGATTGACCAATCAGCAGATCTGTCGACACTCACGTGTTGTTACCATCATCCGTGATTGACCAATCAGCAGATCTGTCGACACTCACGTGTTGTTACCTCATCCTTGATTGACCATTCAGCTGGTCACCTATACTTACAGTCGTCTCTCTTTTATCAAAAAGGGATACCGCATATTCCAAGAGGGCAAGGCCGCTGATGCATTCAAGAAAAACTCTTTGAATTTTTGTTGGAAATAAATATTAGAATAACTGAGTTATGTTTTCTCAATGATTGTGTGCTTGGTAGAAATGCATAAACAGGTAAGTATTTATGTGTTGAAGGCCAATTTCTTACATGTGTGTTACAATGTGTGAGTTTGCTCAGCTGAACTAGAGACCAGTGAGACCACCTCTTCTGTTTCAAAATAGATCTATGCATAGATATTCAGAAAGACAAAACTCTCTCCACAAGATTGGATCCAACTGTACAATTTCAAACATTCCCTTCTGTTGGGGCAATATTCTTACATCTCCAGCCTGGGCTACAACATTCAAGGCCTCAGATGGTTGGTTGGTTTGTTGTTTAACGCCGCACTCAGCAATATTCCAGCTATATGACGGCGGTCTGTAAATAATCGAGTTTGGACCAGACAATCCAGTGTTTGATATCATGAGCATCGATCCACGCAATTGGGATCGATGACATGCATCAACCAAGTATGCGAGCCTTAACACTCGATCCCGTTAGTCGACTTTTACGACAAGCATAGTCACTTTTTATGGCAAGCATGGGTTGCTGAAGACCTATTCTAGCCCAGATTCTTCACGGGTCTCAAGGCCTCAGTAAAACATCTGGTAGACATATGGAGGACATTTCCAAATTTGAACAATAAGTGACAAAAATTATGTTTTATGCAATTATTCTCCACACCAACCTCAGTTACTTGAAAAAGAGGCAACTTCAAGCAACTATTACATCCCCAAAGAGAGTGAGTTAGTGAGTTGGGTTTAACGCCGCTTTTAACAGAATTCCAGTTATATCGCGACGTGTCAGCTTAATGTGGGAGGAAAGCCCGAAGTGATGCAGGTCTCACACGTTTACCACTTTGGTGAAACCCACGAGCACGGGTATGGTGCTGACAAACTTAGAAACACAATCGGGGCGAACCGGAATTCGAACCCACAATTATAGGTTTCTGGCGTGCCCGAGGTACGCAGTTCTGCACAGCGAATCGCGGCGCCTTAGACGACTGGGCCACCCGTGTCCCCTCCCCCAAAAGAAGCCACCCAGTGTGTACTCCACTGTGCTCTAATCACATTGGGGGCTGTCGGTCAGCCTAGTGGTTAAAGCGTTCGCTCGTCACGCCGAAGGCCTGGGTTCGATTCCTGACATGGGTAACATGTGTGAAGCCCATTTCTGGTGTCCCCCGCCGTGATATTGCTGGAATGTTGCTAAAGGCGGCGTAAAACCATACTCACTCACTCACTCACTCACTAATCACATTGACATCTTGTTGGAAGGTCCATGACCATACCTCAAACATCTGCACCAATCTCAACCAGTATCCTACCAAGCTGTTTTACTGTTTAGCGAGACACTGGTAGTTGCTAGTGTCATAAGATTAAAAATGCACCTCAAAAACATTTAGAAAATGGTAACAGATAAGACCGTTATAGCTGCAATGAGGAGTTGCATTAGATACAGTTTGTGACAGAACTTTTAGTTCGAAAGGAATCAATAGATAAAAGACATTTCACATTTATCACAAGTGTATTCTTGACCTTTTCATTTCATTTATCATTGGATTGGTTCCAGGTTATCGTCCATTAGTTAATAGAACAAGTAGAGAAGCAAAATATATTCTTCAACATTAGGAGAGGAGAGCGCCTTTTGCAACAAGCAACCACTTTCCTCCCACATTAAGCTGACACGTCGCGATTTAACTGGAATACTGTTAAAATCGGCGTTAAACCCAACTCACTCACTCACGATTACACTACGTTTAATAAAGTTGTATTGTTAATAAAATGATGATCGCTACACGGATGAGTAATAAAAACAATATATCATATGAATTAAGTGACTTGCTTACTTTTATCTTGAGTCAAAGGTTAAGATTTCCTTATTGCCAAAGACCCAACTGGCTCTCACAGAACTCGCCTAATATTGAGGTTATTCGAACTCACGCTTGACTGAAGCCACTGAATAAGTAGCTTGAGTGAAAGGTTGGGATACGGGGAATTATTCACCACACAGTGTAGGATTTGTGGTACGTCGGTAGTCAGCTGCGACTCCCCTACTACCACTTACAGGTTGTTCTGGACATTGGAATTTGAAATCACGACGGAATGGCAAAACACACCTATGGGGCGGTGAAAAGTGTCAGGCGCTGAGATCGTATCTTGCTAGTGTCCGGGTTGTTATTCAGCCTTGGGGCCAACAATGTTTACAGGTCTTTACAGTGGTATCAATTGTATCAATATTTGTCAATTAATGGGAACAAGACTATTGCTTCAACAAATCCCTGGGTTAGATGTGTTATGGATATACTAGACAGTATTGGATTATCTTATGTTTTTAACAACAACAAAGTGGTTAGTGTCAGAAGTAGAGCAAATACTTAAAGATCACTTTTTCCAGAAATGGAGAAGTGATGTTAATTCTAGTTCTAAAGGCTTATACTATAAACATTTAAAGGACACTCCGGTTCTCGATAAATATCTTCTATTGCCAAACCGAATAAAAATTCCAATACTACGATTTCGAACCTGTAATCATAATTTTCCTAATGAGACTGGCCGATGGAAAAATATTCCAAAGGAAAATAGAACCTGTAGATGTAAATTATGTAATTCTCCATCTATTGTTGATGAATTTCACTACTTATTCAGATTATTTTTTTAAAAGAGAGAGGCAAAAGTTTCTCTCATCATATTATACTGAATGGCCAAATATTATAATTTTTTTAAAACTCTTATCAACATCAAACACACAGGATCTAAAGAATTTATCGAGATTGATTGTAAAAATGTCCATTAGTATTAAAAATGCTAGGTAATCACATGTTGTTTATTAACTGCCATCTTGTCTGCTTTTTGTACATATACATAATTATTTATTGTAATATGCTCTTGTACCACCTTTTGTGGTTTTTGAGAATAAACTGATTCTGATGCTGGTCGCTACCCCTAGTGTACAGTACATACTCCCTATGCACTCAAAAGGACCCACTCGTCCGTGTCAAAACATAAGATGTCACCCTGGTCTAGTGACCTAGTTCAAATGTGCCTCTGTTCACCCTGTGGGGAATGGGTATCCAATATGTCAGGTGGATGTAGAAACCTTGTAGCGCCCTCAAGGGGTGGGGGTGGGGGTGGGGGTGGGTATCCAATATGTGAGGTGGATGTAGGAACCTTCTAGCGCCCTCAAGGGGGTGGGGGTGGGGGTGGGTATCCAATATGTGAGGTGGATGTAGGAACCTTCTAGCGCCCTCAAGGGGGGGTGGGGGGGGGGGGGGTGGGGGTGGGTATCCAATATGTGAGGTGGATGTAGAAACCTTGTAGCGCCCTCAAGGGGTGGGGGTGGGGGTGGGGGTGGGGGTGGGTATCCAATATGTGAGGTGGATGTAGGAACCTTCTAGCGCCCTCAAGGGGGTGGGGGTGGGGGTGGGTATCCAATATGTGAGGTGGATGTAGGAACCTTCTAGCGCCCTCAAGGGGGGGGGGGGGTGGGGGTGGGTATCCAATATGTGAGGTGGATGTAGGAACCTTCTAGCGCCCTCAAGGGGGGGGGGGGGGTGGGGGTGGGTATCCAATATGTGAGGTGGATGTAGGAACCTTCTAGCGCCCTCAAGGGGTGGGGGTTGGGGGGTATCCAATATGTGAGGTGGATGTAGGAACCTTCTAGCGCCCTCAAGGGGGGGGGGGGGGGGGTATCCAATATGTGAGGCGGTTGTAGGAACCTTCTAGCGCCCTCAAGGGGGTGGGGGTGGGTATCCAATATGTGAGGTGGATGTAGAAACCTTGTAGCGCCCTCAAGGGGTGGGGGGGGGGGGGGTATCCAATATGTGAGGCGGTTGTAGGAACCTTCTAGCGCCCTCAAGGGGGGGGGGGGGTGGGGGTGGGTATCCAATATGTGAGGTGGATGTAGGAACCTTCTAGCGCCCTCAAGGGGGGGGGTGTGGGGGTGGGTATCCAATATGTGAGGTGGATGTAGGAACCTTCTAGCGCCCTCAAGGGGGGGGGGGGGTGGGGGTGGGTATCCAATATGTGAGGTGGATGTAGGAACCTTCTAGCGCCCTCAAGGGGGTGGGGGGTGGGGGGGGGTATCCAATATGTGAGGTGGATGTAGAAACCTTGTAGCGCCCTCAAGGGGGGGGGGGGGGGGGTATCCAATATGTGAGGCGGTTGTAGGAACCTTCTAGCGCCCTCAAGGGGTGGGGGTTGGGGGGTATCCAATATGTGAGGTGGATGTAGGAACCTTCTAGCGCCCTCAAGGGGTGGGGGTGGGGAATGGGTATCCAATATGTGAGGTGGATGTAGAAACCTTCTAGCGCCCTCAAGGGGGGGGGGGGGGGGGGGTATCCAATATGTGAGGTGGATGTAGGAACCTTCTAGCGCCCCCCGGCAGCTTGGTTTGTAACATGATAACTGGAATGCAAACAGATCCACTGGTCAGGGAACAAATTAAACCGCATTTATGCAGATACTAGCACCTAGATACCTGGGGTATATAAATATATAGTTTAAAAAAACATACGATCCTGCCTGCAACTCATGCCCTCCGAGCCTCGCTTTCAAATCTGGAGTTCCGAAATGTGAAAAAAGACAGTCACTGAGGTTTTTAATATAGCCTTCGATCACGTGGTATCACGAGCCGCGTGACTGCGTTTCTTTACATACTGTCTCGGGCCCATTGTCGCGGATCATTAGAACTGGTTGAAGCTGAGGACCTACAACATGTTGGCGATGGCTGTCACCTCGTACAGGTAGGTTCCGACTGATATGTGTTACCTTTACTGTTTTACTGTTCACAGTTTAACGCGTAAATGTGATAAATGTGTAAACTGATTCTATCACTGGATCAGCACGACAGAACTTTTTACATTGTGGTTGCATTGTGTGGATAATACGCCGCGGGTTCACCAAGCACATGTGCTATAGTTAGTTACGGTTGATCAATAATCAGCATCTATTGAACAAACATAGAAGGGAGCTCGTTCTTACTGAACATACGACGTCATATGAACCTTTGCTTTTTGAACGTGCGTATCGACTACATGTATGGTGGGGTCTGGGTCTAATTAGTCGTTTTCTTGTCATAAGAGGCCTAGGGGTCAACTGGATAGGATGGTCACGTGGTCATGCTTTGATGAATGCTGATCATCGTATCCTACGGCTGTGGAATTGCTCATAATAACTGTTCTGTCTTTACGCATGATGTAAAGTGGGAGTATGTCGAAACAAACATTTATTCATGTGTAAAACTTCAACAGTTTGGCTGTGTGCGGCATTAAACAAACAAACAAACAAACAAACAAACAAACCAAGTAATGATTATGATTATTTTATCATACATAACGTGACATCTAGCCGGGATGACAGAGAATAACTATTTACAGTTAACTACGTTTATAGCGAACACTCTTATAACGAACTGACCGATATAACGAATTTATTTTTTAGTCTCGGCATTTGTTGCATATATGCTGTATACATGCTTATAACGAACGAACTACGGTTATTACGAACTAAAATTAGTGGTCCCTTTGAGTTCGTTATAACCGTAGTTTACTGTACAACAATAAAAACTACAAGTCATTCTTCAATTACATTACAATGAAAGGGTATGCCAGGACCATAACCTCTAATGATATGAATTATATTTAGGGCCTTGCGGATAACAAAGGCGGTAAAGTTACCGGCTGATTTTCACGATACGCGTTATGTGAATGAGACTGCTGCTTTTAAAGAATGCTTTGTATTCGTTGTTTCAAACCATCTCGGTGTATGTTGATTCCCATGTTTAATAATCGGATATCATCCAATACAGTAAACTACGGTTATAACGAACACGCTTATAACGAACTGACGGATGTAACGAACTACTTTTTTGGTCCCGATAATTAGCTGTATTATGCTGTATATATGCTTATAACGAACTACGGTTATAACGAACTAAAATTAGTGGTCCCTTTGAGTTCGTTATAACCGTACTTTACTGTACTTTAAAATATGCACAGTGTATATATGTGCCCTACAAAGTACTTGAAGAGGCAGTTAGTTTCGTTATGGTCAGTTGTTGGGGGAATGTTATCAATCCAGACATCAGTAATTATAGTATTTACAGTTATTTTAAATCGTCGACTTACAAAGTTATCAGATGTTGAGCATTGTTGTATGAATTTGAGATATTTGATATGGAACAAGTTTCTAATAGCAGAGATGGAATGATTAGAACAACGCATATTACTCCTACAAATCAATTTCAATATTGTTGTTCATGGAACAAGTTTGATACGGCAGAGATGGAATGTGAGATCTAATGAGTGAGTGAGTATGGTTTTACGCCGCTTTTAGCAATATTCCAGCAATATCACGGCGGGGGACACCAGAAATGGGCTTCACACATTGTACCCATGTCGGGAATCGAACCCGGGTCTTTGGCGTGGCGAGCGAACGCTTTAACCACTAGGCTACCCTACCGCCCCCTGAGATCTAATGTGTTTTCTCCAACTAATCTATTTCAATATCTCTGTTTGAATGAAATATTTACAACTTTAGCTGATTTTTACAAATTTAGTTTGTTTGTTATGTTAGTTTGTTGTGTACCGCTATTGTATAACCAGGAGCGCTATTGTATGTACCAGTGGGTCGACCGGAGTGGACGCGGTTAACGTTGAACAGGATTTCAGCCATATCATTTTTGTTGTTGTTTTCTGCCGCAATCATCAATATTCAAGCTGTATGACGACGGTGAGCTAATAATCGCGTCTGGACCAGACAATCCAGTGATTAACATTATGATCATCGATCTATCTAATTGGAATACGATTACATGCATCAACCAATAGACTGGTCGCGTCTATAAAGGCAATGAAGGTCGATTACTTGTTATTTTTCCAAATCTCTATTACGAGTATCGATGTCAGGGTTGATATATGTTCTACTGATGACGGTCCTCTTCCAAAGCCATTTAGAGAGCCTGATAAAAGGTCATGAAGTTCAGGATACTTACATAATCTGTTATTGAGCACACCACGGTACAATTAATATCATCCTGCTTGTGTGATGCGTCTGTACGACATGGAATCCCTCGCATCTTCTGTTAAGCTCTCTGGGTACTAAAGCCTCTTGCCCACTCAACGAAAAAGTATATATAAGAAATATAGACCAAGTTCACTACTTCAACGGGAAGTCATACCTGCATCAGAATTGTCTGTACAGTAAAGTACGGTTATAACGAACTCAAAGGGACTACTAATTTTAGTTCGTTATAACCGTAGTTCGTTATAAGCATATATACAGCATAATACAGCTAATTATCGGGACCAAAAAAGTAGTTCGTTATATCCGTCAGTTCGTTATAAGCGTGTTCGTTATAACCGTAGTTTACTGTAATTAAGATATACAGTAAACTACGGTTATAACGAACACGCTTATAACGAACTAACGGATATAACGAACTAACTTTTTAGTCCCGACTATATACTGTAGTTTTGCTGTATATACGCTTATAACGAATTACGGTTATAACGAACTAAAATTAGTAGTCCCTTTGAGTTCGTTATAACCGTAGTTTACTGTACTCATTCGTATCAGAGCTAAAAATTACAGTTCAGTACATTTGCATATGCCTTTCTCGAAGTCTTCAATTCCTTATCTTTATCACATGACGCCTCTTGGTTGTGGCAGGATCCGAAGATCAATGGCTCGAATTCAAGGTCCGCTGTTGACCCTTTGTCATCACCATACTCAACTTGTGCCAATGTGTTAAACACCCTCGACGTGTGTCACCTGCAGCTGGAGTCTCACAGGTCGCGACTGGAGCAACGTCAATGGCGACGTTAACCCCAAACCGCTCACCAAATTGCATTGTAGTGGGCATTGGCATCCTTTTCCGTAAAACAGTGTAGCCACAGGTCGTAAACTTGCGCCCTAGTTTATGTATCATCTATCAATATGAGGAGTGGTCAAACAGTCTGGTCAGCCAGCACCTGTTGTCACATCACTTCACATCCGGGGCGGTCGGGTAGCCTTGTGGTTAAAGCGTTCGCTCGACACGCCGAAGACCCGGGTTCGATTCCCGACATGGTACAATGTGTGAAGCCCATTTCTGGTGTCCCCCGCCGTGATATTGCTGGAATATTGCTAAAAGCGGCGTAAAACCATACTCACTCACTCACACACTTCACTCCCGGTTGGGGGACACGTCTGGAACATAATCTTGATCATAACGAACACCCTGTTGGGAGTCTACGTCTAATTGCGTCATCTTTGACTTTTCAGATGAAGCAACCTTTATAAACCCTGCCGAGAGTTTAGGAATGACTTTGTCATTGCCGACATTTAAGGAACAACAAAATTAATAAGCACCACTGCGGCCATATTCGTAAACAAATATCGTGAAATATATTAGTGAATGATATTATATAATAATGGACTATTTATTAAGTCTTTACCTGTGAACACAAAAATAGAAATCAACTTCGACTAAAAGGTATCTATCACATGCATTTTCTTCGGTCAAGAAAATCGGTGTCCATATAAGAAGAAGCGCAGATTCGTGATTTTTAAAATAAATAATGTTTGAGGCCAAACGCTTCCTTCACCTTAAATGTGAAAACTGACATGAAGGATTAATTATCTGTCACGTGTTGTTTTGAATTTTTGACGAGTTCTGAAATCGACCCATCTATGCCCCCACTTTATATGCCCGTCATATTCTTTACAAGGTTAGTTGAAAAGAGTCTTGTTACAACGAACTATGCAAACAGTCCTCGGCTCTTATAGTATGGCCTTACAAAGTTAGTGACCTGTGACAGCCTCCTCGTCCTCGACCCCAGCTTAGACTGTGACTATCTTCAGCGCATTCCACAACAAACGTTCAGTGACACACACATATCCCTACCCGGACAATAGATGAAAAAACTGCTTGTCACTCTGACTTCTCACTGTACATTGTATCATTATTACTATACTCAACAACAAAAGTTCCTGTGACACCAATATTTCAGTGTATTTTTCAAACAAGTAAGGTTTGGTTTTCAATATTGTAGTACATGTATAGAATCAAGTCACAAAAACGCAACTGCAACAGAAAAGCATGCATTCCATGCAAAAGTTGACTTTTATGCAAGCCCCATGCCTTTCACTACCCTAGAATGGGTATAAAAACATGTGCGTTAACGGGATTCCATATACATTGTTTAGCATCGTGCTGACAACAACCACTCAGAAAAACAACAAAATTACGCAATTATTCAACATTACGAAATGCCACGCCTGTCCGAAAATGAGCGTCTGCGAGGCATTGGTCATCTTCCCGAGGCACGAGCGTTAACTGACTTTACAAGTCCAGTTTCCACACTTGCCGAACTAGGCTGGGATTATGGAGTTACATTTTGGTTGGGCTAACGAGTCTATGCATAGTCCAATCAATATCGCGCACCGAAATCGAAATCCGGTTCGTAAACTGTCACGCAGAGTTCGGTCGATTGCAGGATTTGCAAAGCATGTGCATCGCCAACTTGTTGTCAACAGATAATTTCCAAATCTTTTCATATTTTTAATCAAGGTGCTCACGTGATTTGTGATGTACTTCGCGAAGTAAGAACCGTTTTATCACAAAATAGATCCTGATGGTCGATCAGATCGTCTTGACTGAGCGCCACCATTTTTTTAAAGCAAATGCATGTGATACGAGAGGTGGAATCTGATTGGTCCATATGGGAGAGGCATAGAATGGACATAACTCGTAAAAGCCACTGGTGGCGCTACGATCGAGCCCAGGAATTCCACTCAAGTTCGGCGAGGGTGGAAACTGGACTTTTATAGTCAGTTAACTCTCTTGCCTCGGGAAGATGGCCATTGGTATGCAGCAGGATCGAGTCAACGTGATGTTGCAAGACAATTTAACGTCTTTAATTTAACGTTAGCAACAGACGAATGCAGTCAGAGACCATCCTGGGAGTGGCAGGCCACGCATAACCAATAATCGACAAGACAACTGGATTCGAACAACATACATACGAAATCGATTCCAGCCAGAAGTAACTGCAAGAAGCATCCCTGGCCTTCGACGAATATCTTCATAAACCGTATGTCGCCGCCTCAGATGTGAAGGGATTGTCGTCAGAAGACCCGCCAGACGTCCCATTTTGACAGGAAACCAGCCTCAAGCACGTCTATAGTTGTGCAGACAGCGTCTACGCTGGACGGCCATGCAGTGGGGACACGTTCTATTTACTGACGAGTCTCGTTTTCACCTCAGCCACAGCGATGAACGGATTCGAGTGTACCGACGTCGAGGTGAACGTTACGTCAATCATTGTGTCGTGGAAGAAGATCGGTTTGGGGGCGGCAGCGTTATGGTTTGGGTGGGATTACAGCGAGACAGAGGACCCATTTGAAAGTGGTAGATAAATCTCAATGGACAGCGCTACCGCGACGAGATCATCGGCCCTGTTGTTCTACCGTTTTTGCGTCGTCATGGCCAAGGCATTATCAACCACTATCGCTCTTCATCACGGATCTCTCCCTTTCTATCACATATCTCTACCTCTCTATCACAGATCTCTCCCTCTCTATCACAGATCTCTCCCTCTCTATCACAGATCTCTCCCTCTTTATCACGGATCTCTCCCTCTCTATCACAGATCTCTCCCTCTCTATCACAGATCTCTACCTCTCTATCACAGATCTCTCCCTCTCTATCACGGGTCTCTCCCTCTCTTTCACAGATCTCTCCCTCTCTATCACAGATCTCTACCTCTCTATCACAGATCTCTCCCTCTCTATCACGGATCACTCCCTCTCTATCACATATCTCTACCTCTCTATCACGGATCTCTCCCTCTCTATCACGGATCACTCCCTCTCTGTCACAGATCTCTCCCTCTCTATCACGGATCTCTCCCTCTCTATCACGGATCTCTCCCTCTCTATCACGGATCTCTCTCTCTCTATCACAGATCTCTCCCTCTCTATCACAGATCTCTCCCTCTGTATCATGGGTCTCTCCCTCTCTATCACAGATCTCTCCCTCTCTATCACGGATCTCTCCCTCTTTATCATGGATCTCTCCCTCTCAATCACGGAGGGGCGGTCGGGTAGCCTGGTGGTTAAAGCGTTCGCTCGTCACGCCGAAGAACCGGGTTCGATTCCCGACATGGGTACAATGTGTGAAGCCCATTTCTGGTGTCCCCCGCCGTGATATTGCTGGAATATTGCTAAAAGCGGCGTAAAACCATACTCACTCACTCACTCACTCTCTATCACGGATCTCTCCCTCTCTATCACGGATTTTCTCTCTATCACAGATCTCTCCCTCTCTATCACGGATCTCTCCCTCTGTATCATGGGTCTCTCCCTCTCTATCACAGATCTCTCCCTCTCTATCACGGATCTCTCCCTCTCTATCACGGATCTCTCCCTCTTTATCACAGATCTCTCCCTCTGTATCATGGGTCTCTCCCTCTCTATCACAAATCTCTCCCTCTCTATCACGGATCTCTCCCTCTTTATCATGGATCTCTCCCTCTCTATCACGGAGGGGCGGTCGGGTAGCCTGGTGGTTAAAGCGTTCGCTCGTCCAGCCGAAGACCCGGGTTCGATTCCCGACATGGGTACAATGTGTGAAGCCCATTTCTGGTGTCCCCCGCCGTGATATTGCTGGAATATTGCTAAAAGCGGCGTAAAACCATACTCACTCACTCACTCACTCTCTATCACGGATCTCTCCCTCTCTATCACGGATCTCTCCCTCTCTATCACGGATCTCTCCCTCTCTATCACGGATCTCTCTCTCTATCACAGATCTCTCCCTCTCTATCACGGATCTCTCCCTCTGTATCATGGGTCTCTCCCTCTCTATCACAGATCTCTCCCTCTCTATCACGGATCTCTCCCTCTCTATCACAGATCTCTCCCTCTCTATCACGGATCTCTCCCTCTCTATCACAGATCTCTCCCTCTCTATCACGGATCTCTCCCTCTCTATCACAGAACTCTCCCTCTCTATCACGGATCTCTCCCTCTTTATCATAGATCCCGGCTCTCTATCACGGATCTCTCCCTCTCTATCACGGATCTCTCCCTCTCTATAACAGATCTCCCTCTCTATCACAGATCTCTCCCTCTCTATCACGAATATATCTCTCTCTATCACAAATCTCTCCCTCTCTATCACGAATATATCTCTCTCTATCACGGATCTCTCCCTCTTTATCATGGATCCCGCCCTCTCTATCACGGATCTCTCCCTCTCTATAACAGATCTCTCCCTCTCCATCACGGATCTCTCCGTCTCTATCACGAATATATCTCTCTCTATCTCGGATCTCTCCCGCTCTATCACGGATCTCTCCCTCTCTATCACGGATCCCTCCCTCTCTATCACGGATCTCTCCCTCTCTATCACGGATCTCTCCCTCTCTATCACGGATCTCTCCCTCTCTATCACAGATCTCTACCTCTCTATCACAGATCTCTCCCTCTCTAGCACGGATCTCTCCTTCTCTATCACGGATCTCTAACTCTCTATCACGGGTCTCTCCCTCTCTATCACAGATCTCTCCCTCTCTATCACAGATCTCTCCTTCTCTATCACAGATCTCTCCCTCTCTATCACGGGTCTCTCCCTCTCTATCACAGATCTCTCCCTCTCTATAACGGATCCCACCTTCTCTATCACAGATCTCTCCCTCTCTATCACGGATCTCTAACTCTCTATCACGGGTCTCTCCCTCTCTTTCACAGATCTCTCCCTCTCTATCACAGATCTCTCCTTCTCTATCACATATCTCTCCCTCTCTATCACAGATCTCTCCCTCTCTATCACGGGTCTCTCCCTCTCTATCACAGATCTCTCCCTCTCTATAACGGATCCCACCTTCTCTATCACAGATCTCTCCCTCTCTATCACAGATCTCTCCCTCTCTATCACAGATCTCTACCTCTCTATCACAGATCTCTCCCTCTCTATCATGGATCTCTCCCTCTCTACCACGGATCTCTACCTCTCTATCACGGGTCTCTCCCTCTCCAGCACGGATCTCTCCCTCTGTATCACAGATCTCTCCCTCTCTATCACAGATCTCTACCTCTCTATCACAGGTCCCTCCCTCTCTGTCATGGATCTCTCCCTCTGTTTCGTAGATCTAAAGTCCACCTCAAATATTGAATTCAAACGATGGCTTACCAGGCTAAATCTTGATTTGAACAAATCTGCCACCTTATTCACTGGCTATGCTTAACCATAGGTCGATATTTAACAACAGGTGTCCCAACAGGTGTCCCATGACTGACGATATATGATTGACCTAGCTATACATGATATACATTTTACTGTGTTTCCTGTTTTCAGATGGGCACTATTCTTCGTGACGCTGCTGCACACGGGCTCAGGGTACGCTCCCTACCGAGATAAAATACCCAACGGTCACAATGTCCCCAGCCCCTGCAAGCCCGGGGAGACGTGGGCAGGGGTGGGGCACAAGCTGATGGCAGGGGGCGGGGTCAGGAACACCTTCGGACAGGATTTTGCAGACAGTGGCAGGGTGAGTGCAAGTTGTGGATAAAGTCCGACCATTTGATATTGGGGATGGGGTTGGGTTGGGTTGGGTTGGGCTGGTTGGGGTGGGTGGGTGGGGATGATGGACGGGTGAGGGGATAATGGGTGGGTGGGGGATGATATTAAATTGACGGCCCCTAAGGCATGTATGATAGTCACAACTGTTCCATAAACTTCATTCTCAAGTATAAATTCCATCCTCATGCTCCCGTTCGACTCGAAATGCACCGCTTTACAAACTAATGTGACGTCATATATACATCCACATTTGATGGTTGACCTCGTCTCGGTGCGTCGAGTCAGGTTTATATTTTTTTTTTACTTTCCTGTTACCTATTTTAAAGATTTTATTAATCCCAAATATCGTTTGTCAATGTGTTCAGAGAATACAATTATGCTGATGTTGACATAATTTCAGATTATGTGGTATATATTCATAGAACTATTTTTCGTTGCGTAACTGAGTGGGGAAACGGATGTGACCGAGACCCGGCAAATAGCGACAAAATAACCTTGTTGCAATGTTCATCCGCGAGACCAGAGAACTTTAAATTTAAGCAAACCTTGTTACGATATTATTCGGCGAGACCAATAAACTACAAATTATGAAATTATAAGAACTGAGCGTCAATTTTGGATGGGTTCATTTGTAATCCAAGCAATAAAACACCCAGTAAAAACGTTTTTTTCACCCCAGGAATGGACAAGAGCGTTGTGTGAGAAAGATTCGGACAGTGACGGATTGACCAATGGTCAGGAACTGGGCGACCCCAACTGTACCTGGTCTCAGGGAATGACAAACCCCACCGGTTCAACGCTATCCCACCCAGGTGAGTGTGAGATGTGTCACATGACCTAGTTAAGGGGGTTGAAACCTACCTTGAATCCCGAACACTATCCAATTTGTAACTCTCATTGCTCACCCCTGAATCCCGAATACTACTTAACACAAATAGCATAAGTATTGAGAAAAGGGTGTGATTCGATGTTAAATTTCCCCCAAAATTTCGAAAAATGAAAACATTATGAAACATATTAAGTACACAATTAAGTTGTTTCAAATCTCCGTACCCCAGGTGTGTGTGACCCCTGGAACGACCCCAAGTGTCTGGCCAGAGACGAGAGTTGGGTACTGACGGCCTGTCAGTCTTCGGACTTCACCTGCAACGGCATCAATGACGTCAGTACGTATCCTTCCCACTGTATGGCGGGGAATCAAGTCATACTTGTGTGTGGATACCCGCTCGAGTATATGCCCACCCACTCTGGAAGGAATAAGTAATGTCCATGCCACCCATTTGTTGTTAAGTTGATGCGATGATTATTTTTACCCATAATATAACATGCTTGAGACTGACTGTGGACCCTATTCCACAGAGAGGTGTTGTTGCTTCATCGATGGCAGCTATATTTCTTTAACCCAGATTATGATATTCGTAGTTTACAACCGCATCACTGAGCGGAGTGTTCTACAGGGTTATGTACCTTGGTCCAACCAAGATCTGCTTTCGTTGATTCTTATCAACACTCCAACACACACTGGTATACCTAGTCAGTCAGTTCCATACCTGTTCTCGTTGGTTTCACAAAAGTCGTGCACCATCGTTTTATTTCGGTAAAACGCTTGAGGCTCACAACTGTTAACTAATATTGCCTGGTATTTTGTTTTGAGATCAGATATTTTTTCAGCTACAGCTATCAAATCAGATATCTAAAACGGTGAGCCCCGAATTTTTGATTAAGAAATACACCTTGTAGCAATGTGATTTTTTGCGGAAAGCATTTTCTTTTATTAACAACCTGAAGCATAATTATTTTTTTCAAGTCCCAATCTCGTGCATCCGAGCACCCGGTTACAGATACCCCCCATTACTGACTTGTACACCCGTGAACCCGGTTACAGATACCTCCCCTTACTCACTTGTACATCTGAGTACCCGGTTACAGATACCTCCCCTTACTCACTTGTACATCTGAGTACCCGGTTACAGATACCTCCCCTTACTCACTTGTACATCCGTGCACCCGGTTACAGATACCTCCCCTTACTCACTTGTACATCCGAGCACCCGGTTACAGATACCTCCCCTTACTCACTTGTACATCCGAGCACCCGGTTACAGATACCTCCCCTTACTCACTTGTACATCTGAGTACCCGGTTAGAGATACCTCCCCTTACTGAATTGTACATCTGAGTACCCGGTTACAGATACCTCCCCTTACTCACTTGTACATCTGAGTACCCGGTTACAGATACCTCCCCTTACTCACTTGTACATCTGAGTACCCGGTTACAGATACCTCCCCTTACTCACTTGTACATCTGAGTACCCGGTTACAGATACCTCCCCTTACTCACTTGTACATCTGAGTACCCGGTTACAGATACCTCCTCTTACTCACTTGTACATCCGAGCACCCGGTTACAGATACCTCCCCTTACTCACTTGTACATCCGGGCACCCGGTTACAGATACCTCCCCTTACTCACTTGTACATCCGAGCACCCGGTTACAGATACCTCCCCTTACTGACTTGTACATCTGAGTACCCGGTTACAGATACCTCCCCTTACTCACTTGTACATCTGAGTACCCGGTTACAGATACCTCCCCTTACTCACTTGTACATCTGAGTACCCGGTTACAGATACCTCCCCTTACTCACTTGTACATCTGAGTACCCGGTTACAGATACCTCCCCTTACTCACTTGTACATCCGAGCACCCGGTTACAGATACCTCCCCTTACTCACTTGTACATCCCTGCACCCGGTTACATATACATCCCCTTACTCACTTGTACATCCGAGCACCCGGTTACAGAAACCTCCCCTACTCACTTGTACATCTGAGTACCCGGTTACAGATACCTCCCCTTACTGACTTGTACATCTGAGTACCCGGTTACAGATACCTCCCCTTACTCACTTGTACATCTGAGTACCCGGTTACAGATACCTCCCCTTACTCACTTGTACATCTGAGTACCCGGTTACAGATACCTCCCCTTACTCACTTGTACATCTGAGTACCCGGTTACAGATACCTCCTCTTACTCACTTGTACATCTGAGTACCCGGTTACAGATACCTCCCCTTACTCACTTGTACATCTGAGTACCCGATTACAGATACCTCCCCTTACTCACTTGTACATCTGAGTACCCGGTTACAGATACCTCCCCTTACTCACTTGTACATCTGAGTACCCGGTTACAGATACCTCCCCTTACTCACTTGTACATCTGAGTACCCGGTTACAGATACCTCCCCTTACTCACTTGTACATCTGAGTACCCGGTTACAGATACCTCCCCTTACTCACTTGTACATCTGAGTACCCGGTTACAGATACCTCCCCTTACTCACTTGTACATCTGAGTACCCGGTTACAGATACCTCCCCTTACTCACTTGTACATCTGAGTACCCGGTTACAGATACCCCCCCTTACTCACTTGTACATCCGTGCACCCGGTTACAGATACCTCCCCTTACTCACTTGTACATTTGAGTACCCGGTTACAAATACCTCTCCTCACCCAACTGTACATCCGGGCACCCGGTTACAGATAGTTCAACATTTCGAAACACACTGTGTAACATTAACAACAATTTCCATCTAGACGTGCGAAACATGGATTTGAAGATACCCAGGACTGCCGTACCACCAGCTGAAACAACCTACATGTGTCAAATTTTCTCCATCCCCAACGACACCGACTACCACATCATTGCCAGCAAGCCCATCATCGACAACGTCAACATCATGCACCACGCCGTCATCTTCGGCTGCACTGAAGGTAACAATAAAGTAAACCAGGTAATCAGAGTGAAAACTGTAGACATTCTCCCCGTGACAATGCGGGTTTGACAGATCCCAGCAACCTAACCTTGCCCAAATAACTATAACTATAGCATGTGGAGATGCCTTGAAAGATAGCCCCCCAGTTCACGTTTACCAACTGCTGCATCCACTCCGATCACACACACACACACACACACACACACACACACACACACACACGCACCCGCACACACGCACACGCAGACACACACGCACGCACACGCACACACGCACACAGAGGGAAACACACACACACACACACACACACACACACACACGCACACACGCACACGCACACAGAGGGAAACACACACACACAGAGGGAAACACACACGCATCAACACACATCAACACACACATCAACACACACATCAACACACACATCAACACACAGAAACACACACATCAACACACACATCAACACACACATCAACACGCAGAAACACACTCACAGGGAATCACACAGACACACACACACATCAACACACAGAGACACAGACACAGACACAGAGACACACAGAGAGACACACACACATAAAACACATTAAGATACATACATAGACACTCAGACACACCCATACACACACTGACACACATACACTTGTGTTCAAATACATACACACAGAATACACACACAGACACACTCACAAACACATAGAGAGATACACACACATAGACACATAGAGAAACACACAGACACACACACACAGACACACAAACAGACACACACAGAGAGACACAGACATACATAGATACACACGTGCACACACTGACACAAACACGCAGACACACCCATACACACACTGACACACTTACATACAAATGTTCACACACAGACACACACAGAACACACACAGACAGACACACTTAACACACACAGACAGACAGACACAAAAACACTGAGAGACACACCCAGAAACACACAAAAAGGCACACAGAGACAAGCACACAAACACACACACAGAAACACATACATACACATTTGCACACACACACTCACATAGACACAAGTGCATAGACAGACACAGAAATACACTCACACGCACACGCACACAGGCAGACACATACACACTTTTACAGACACATACATACATACACACACAGAAAAACAGAGAACACACACATACACACAAACACACATTAACACACAGAAACACGTAACGACACGAACACGGACACACAAACACGCAGACATACACATACACACACACACTGACACACTTACATACACATGTGTACACAGATAGACACACAGACCACACACAGACACACACAAACACAGAGAGAGGCACACACAGAGAGACACATACAGAAACACACACAGAACACACACACAAACACAAAGAGAGAGACACACACAGACACGCACACAGACAAACCGACACACACGGAGGACACATACACAAACACAGAAATAGAGACACATACAGAGACACACACAAAGACGCACACGGAGAACACACCGAGACATACACAGACACACACACATACACAGACAGACACTCATAGCGACACAGATACACAGAGAGAGACACACCGAGAGAGAGAGACACACACACAAACATACACACGCATACACACACAGAGACGAAGACACATATAGATACACCGAACACACATAGAAAGACACACACACAGAGTGAGAGACATATACGGAAACACACACAGGCACACACAAAGAGACACACAGAGAGAGAGAGAGAGAGAGAGAGAGAGAGAGAGAGAGAGAGAGAGAGAGCTACACACAGACAGACACACAAACATACACACGCATACACACACAGAGACGAAGACATATAGATACACCGAACACACATAGAAAGACACACACACAATAAAAGAGTGAGAGACACATACAGAGACACACTCAGATACACAAAGAGAAACACACAGAGAACGCACAGGCAGAGAGAGACACAGACAAACACACACAGACACACATAGCGACACACAGAGACACACATACATACACTCACAGAGAGACACACACAGAAACACACAAAGACACACACAAATAGATACACAGATACACACACAAACACAAAGACAAACACAGAAAAACAAAGAGACACACACACAGACACACATACATACACACGTGCGCACACATACACATACACACAGACACACACACATACACATAAGCACACACATATACACACACGTTCACATACAAACACACAGACACACACATACACTCACAGAGACACAAACAGACACATATCCACTCAAAGAGACACACACATAGATAGACACATTCACATAAATACACACACAGGCACACACACACAGGCAGGCAGACACATACACACACATTCACACATACATACAGACAGACACATGCACACACACATACACACGCGCACGCACGCACACACACAGACACACAGACACACGCAAAAGTTTTTTAAATTGTTCAACATCTGTTGGTATGACGCGACCGGGTGAATAAACCACCGACATTCCTGTTCAGGCGCTCTGGCCATGCAGGTGGTTCTTGATGAAGGAGGTTTGACCGTCTTCTCCTCTTTCAGACGAACCTGAATCCCTTGCCCCCTTTGCTTGCGGCATGCTTCCTGGTGGGAGCTGTCGGGCCGTCACAAGTATCTGGACACTGGGCAGTTCAGGTGACTGCATACACGAGTCGGTGGGATTCAGGATGGGGGTACACGGCTTCAAGAGGTTAGCTGTTCAGGTAAGTTGCAGCTGCTGCCATCAATTGATAGGATGGCCTCCTGATATTTATATGCAATACTTGAATGAGTAAGTGAGCTAAGATTACGCTGCTTTGAACAGCATTGCGGCTAAATCACGGCGTGCCAGGTCAACGTGGGAGAAGAGCTGGAAGTGGACCAGGTCGTTTACCACCATAGTGAAACCACTTCAATCACCTAAAATACAAATTTCAGACACAATAACAGATACTATAAACCTTTTCAATAATAATTGATGAAATGTATTAAGTTAATCCCTGGCGAATGCAGTCCTCCTATTGAAAGAACAAAGCCTTCTCAGAAGGGAACGTATATACCCGTTACCGTAAAAATACTAATAATTCACTTCAAATAGAAGTAATATATCCTTGCCTATAAAAACATTGAAAACAATATTGTGCAACACAAATGTATTCATATTTATATTTCGACCCAACCTTTTAGAGAAGCATAAATCGGTAGAACATAAAACACATATTGTAAACTGTTTCGTGCCGGGAGATTGGCGCTTTGTGACATATCCGGTTAAGGTGCGCATGCGTAACGTACTTAATTATGGAATGTAAGTAAACATGGATCTTTCCTTGAGGCGATAAAGCATAAACTGCTCTGCTGATATTAATTTTGGCCAAAACTATTTCACTTCACTATTTAACAACTGACAAACGATTCGACACTGAGAACCAATGAATGCCATGTTCAGTGTCATCCAATCGCAGCCTACAAGAACTTGGCCAATGCCTGCTTTTGTGCAGGTAGACCAGAGACCAGTCAAGTGTCATTCTTTCTAACTCATTCACACTTTTCACAGCTGCATTGGAACAATCCCGAAAAGAGGAGTGACTATTTCGACCAATCAGGAATGACGATCTACTTCACCCCGGTCCTGCGAACTTATGATGCAGGTATCCTGACAACTGGTCAAGAGAACCTGCTGATCCCACCTGGAGAGCCTAGTGTGAAGACCCTGGCCAGAATCCCCGGTGCATGTACCAACCGTTCCTTCACAGGGACAATCTATGTAACAGCAACCCTGAACCACATGCATTACCTGGGTATGTGCTGTTATATATAATAATGAAAATAGTAATACTGATAATACTAATGCTTCAGAAAAGGATGAAAATTACATCACCAATAGTAATATAAACAATGATGATAATAAGGAAGAGAATTTATGGATGTCAACTTCTTTATAATGAGGAACACAACGTTTCGGAGTATATCCTTTATGTATAGGATAAAACACGTCCGAGGGTAGTTATGATATTTAAAACCGCATCCCGAGGGATTTTCCGAGGGAAAGGGTTTTAAATAATAAAACAAATAAAAATATAACAACCCGAGGGGAAATGTTTTATCTTACTTATAAAACGATTTTGAACCTTAAAATGATCCCCAAAATAAATTTCAACCCACAAGTTAAGCCATGTCGCAAAAAGCATCGCGCGAACACAACTTGCACGTGCTAGTGACTGGAGTTAACCACGTGCTCTCTCAGTTGTATTCTGTCCTGCACTCAGAGAAGACGCGATGGACAGCGTAGACGAAATTTTCCACTGAAGCAGATATCGTTTCCATCTGGGATTTTATATATAAAATTCCGGGGACTCACATGACAAGAGATTTTAGGAGACTTAAAATCCCGACAGAACAATAGGATGACGTCACTAGATGTTAATAACACCTGATGAAGAAGTAAGCATATACTCCGAAACGTTGTGTTCCTCATAATAAAGAAGTTGACATCCGTAAATTCCTTATGTGTATCACTTCTAAATGCCTTTCATAGACTTAATAATGATAATGTTTACAACAACAGCACTAGTGTAATAATAGTGATAAGAACGATGACCATCATAAAAATAACGTTATCAGCAACAAACACAATGTTATAATAGTAACAAAAATATTGATAACAAAGCCTCCATATTAAAAAAGGAGTACGAGGGTAAATAGAACAGTTTGTGTAATGTGAGGTTTCAATGCGCGTATGAAGAGTGAGTGAGTTGGGTTTAACGCCGCTTTTAACAGTATTCCAGTTATATCACGGCGTGTCAGCTTAATGTGGGAGGAAAGCCCGAAGTGATGCAGGTCTCAGACGTTTACCACTTCGGTGAAACCCACGAGCACGGGTATGGTGCTGACAAACCTAGAAACATAATCTGGGCGAACCGGGATTCGAACCCACAATCATAGGTTTCTGGCGTGCCCAAGGGACGCAACTCTGCACAGCGAATCGCGGCGCCTTAGACGACTGGGCCAACCGTGCCCCCCGCGTATGAAGAACAGCATCTCTTGTAAAACACAATACCCCGGTACAGACTGATAACTGTATCTGTTTTCGAGATGTCAACCAGAGAAGTAGTGAGAGAAAATGGGAAAATGGAGAAGCTTAAGAGACAAGCTGTTATTAAGAAAATGAAAAGAGCATGTCACCAAAGAAAATACACGATAGAACTTCATGATCTCATAATAGTGGTGCGGACTTTACCACAAAACATAACAAAGGACGCATCCTTTTCTCTGGGGATTTCCGATTGAATAATACATGAAAGATATCTGCCTATCACTGAAGCACAGTAAACTACGGTTACAACGAACTCAAAGGGACCACTTATTTTAGTTCGTAATAACCGTAGTTCGTTATAAGCATATATACAGCATATATACAACAAATGGACTAAAAAATACGTTCGTTATATCGGTCAGTTCGTAATAAGCGTGTTCGTTATAACCGTAGTTTACTGTAGTTCAAATGTTATGTTGAAAAGTAAAGTAGACATATAAACAGAATAAACGCGATCTTCACTGATAACTCTCTTCACTCTCTTTCAACCTGCTGAATATATTAGGCTACACCATACCGCATCACTAATCCCCTCACTATAACCAAAGACTTCACGCTTGTTTTGTCCTTGTGACTTAGTTTCGAATACAAATTATGTGTCTTGAATCTACGTTTTAAATATTTCAAGAGATTTGTTTGTAATTTGTTTTGACGAACATATTATGTAGTACTTTCAGAAACTACTAATAAATATTTGTGATGTTTGTCATTCTGATTGTACCTCCATAGGGGGCAGGGGTGGTGGCCCAGTCGTTTAAGGTGCTGCAATTCGCTGTGAAGAGTTGCGGCCCTTTGGCGTGTAAGGAACCTATGATCGTGGGTTCGAGTCCCAGTTCGAGCAGATTATGTTTCTAGGTTTGTCAGCACCCTACCCGTGCTCGTGAGGTTTACCAAAGTGGCAAACGTCTGAGACCTGCATCACTTCGGAATTTCCCTCCACATCAGGCGAACATATATATATCTAATACATCTGATACACTGTTCAAAATGGCTTTAAAGCCAACTCACTCATTTATGTGCTAATTTGTAAATCGTCAGGAATCTCCCAATCTCTGGAGCTGTACAGGAATGGCGTCAAAGTCCGAGATGTTGCAAGTGACCCTAAATATAACTATGACAATCCATTATTTCACAAGTAAGTGATCACACGTATGACCAGTAATTTAACTCTTTCAGATAATTAGTATAAAAAAGTTAACACAGTGAAATGAAACCTCCTTAATGCACACTGTAGAGTGCCTATTAGTTCGTCCGGTTTAACAGTTATCCGGAATAACGGGTCTTCGTTTCAGAGGAGGTTTCCCCTTTAATGGCAAGTTAAGGCTCCAATGTTTGTTTGGGGCTTTCTTCACATTACCTTGTACTTTTATATTAAAGCGTCGACCGTAAGTGTAAGTCGCTGTTTGGGATAAAGCTAATAGCACACATGAATATAAATACCAAACACTGCTTTCGCGAACACCTCCAGTGATCCAGTCATACAATTTTCACCACCATTTCATCACAATATAAATGATATTGTTGATTGTAAATGTTTTATGCACAGATTCAGTGACCCCATTGAGATCCGACCTGGTGACGAGCTGAGGACGCATTGTGAGTTCGCATCCTCCAAGAAGTCTACGACAACAATGTTCGGTGCTGCGACGTCCGACGAGATGTGCTACAGTTTCATCACCTACTACCCTCAACAGAACTCCAACAGACCATTCCTCACCAACTTCAAGAGTATTCCGTACTGCATGCTTGGCATTGAGGACACGTACGAAGGTTGTGCTTGGAAGACGATTTTAACCGACCCCGAATTATTGCAGCTGTATGGCCTTGTGGACACCAATTGCAACTTGTTTGAGAAGTGTTCGCCGGCATGTTACAACGCCATTCAGACAACAAAGCAGCACAAATGTTTCCAGGGCGATATACGGAAATATAACATCTATAAACTGTTAAGGATCACGGACACGGTCACGTTTCTCATGAAGTTACGGTCGTGTGAGTGTGAAGACGTTGCACCCTCCTCAGCACCCCCTACAGCCCCCGACGCAGTCTCCAAGCCTGACAACAGCACCTGTGACTGGGCAGGCTTATATGTTCCATCGGTTGGAAACCCACTCGACACCATCTTCATCAACGTCACTGGCAGTTGTGCTGCTACGGGCGACTGTCTCCAGGAGTGCGTGCCTGCTGTCAGGGCTGCGAGGGAACATCCGTGCTTCCAGGGAGCGGAGTGGGAACACGGACGGCGCTACCTCTATGAAAGATCAAACTACAAGACTCTGGAGTTTCTCTTGGACTTTGAATCCTGTAATTGCGAGTTGGGGATCGCTGCTACACCTGCTACAACACCTACTACTGAACCTGCTACTACACCTACTACTGAACCTGCAACTTCACCTACTACTGAATCTGATACGAAACCTACAACGGGTGCATTTTCATTTCAGTATAGTTATCATCACTTTGTTCTGATAACAATCATATCCGTCTTCTGTGTTCTTGCTTCGTGAAGAGATACGATGAACCAACTCGATATACCTGTACAGAGATCCGGTGACTAAACAAATGAGGTTATCTATCCAGATCTCTTTCCGATGCCATGCCTTCTATTTCCTATTTCATGACATTCTCCAAATGCTGGTTGTTTACGTAAACAAGCGTTGCTTCACATTAACTGTGTAATACACATAATGACGTGCATACATCGTGTTTTATATATTACTATAACGTTGTAACCACCCTCTTGTCAACTGCTGTTGTTACTGTAACTTCTTTCTCCTACCACTACAACTACTGCTACTGTTACAACTACTACTACCCCTACTGCTGCTGCTGTTACTACATATTCTACTCCAACTGCTACAGTTACTACAACTTCTACACTTCTTCCTCCCACCACTACAGATACTATTGCCACAACTACTCCTACTACTCCTACTGCTGCTGCTGTTACTACATATTCTTCTCAAACTGCTACTGTTACTACAACTACCACTATTCTTCCTCCCACCCCTACAACTACTATTGCCACAACTACTCCTACTACTCCTACTGCTGCTGCTGCTGTTACTACATATTCTTCTCAAACTGCTACTGTTACTACAACTACTACTATTCTTCCTCCCACCACTACAAATACTATTGCTACAACTACTCCTACTGCTACTGTTACTACAACTTCTACTGCTGCTGCTGCTGCTGTTACTACATATTCTTCTCAAACTGCTACTGTTACTACAACTACTACTATTCTTCCTCCCACCACTACAAATACTATTGCTACAACTACTCCTACTGCTACTGTTACTACAACTTCTACTGCTGCTGCTGCTGCTGTTACTACATATTCTTCTCAAACTGCTACTGGTACTACAACTACTCCAGCCACTACTCCAAATGCTATAAGTTTTACTCCTCTTTCTCGTCCTATTACTACTAAGTCTACTATTTCTGCGACTACAACATCTCCTACTACTACGGGTACAACAACAACTACTACCACCTCTACTATTATATTTTGTAATAAACATAATGACTTACATGTATGGTGTTTTCGTAGTAACTATGACGTTGCCACTACCTACTTGTGATTTGAGATTCGCCACACTCGCGATTTGCTTGTCCTGGACGGGCAAAGGGACGTAACTCCGTACATTATGCATGCTGACAGTCATGATACCTGACTAAATTAAATGAGGTGTCACCATGACCCTGGTCATGCAGCTGGAACATTGCTGAGTGCGGTGTTAAAAACACAAAACAAACTGGAACATGTGCTGCAAGTCATGAAAAGGAATTGAAAAAAACATGAGGTGAGTATGTTTCGTATATACTCAGAAATATCTTAAACGTTTCCAAATTCGAAGAGGTCTTATATTCTAGTAATAGTTGTATGATAATAATGAACGAATTGGGAACACATTACAACCGGTGATAAAGTATGACAGTAGATGTTGTGACCGCCAACGATTTTGAAGGACGATAGGGAAAGATGGGAAATTTCAAAGTTGACGATTTTGGATGAGTAGTGCGTAATACCGCCACGATTTTTCCAACATTTCATTCACCCGACGAGCCATACTGCATATGAATCTCCCAATGGCGAATTAAGGGCGTCTGTCCCACTCTTTCTGCAGTGCCTGGTCTAGATGAATCCTATCTATATCAGCCAATCCCATCAAAATCAGCTAACCCCATCTACCACCAATATCAGCCATCCCATTTGTATCAGCTAATCCCATCCATATCAACTAATCACATCAATATCAGCTAAAGGTTCTTTGATCGGGGTTTCACTATTCAAGGTCTTGGTCAAGCATTCCAAAAGACATGTAGAGCTATATTTCCATTGTAACTAAACTTATGTCCGATGCAATTCTCTGTCTTGACTTCTAACATGTCTTCCCGTGTTTTTTCAGGTGAACCTTTGACTTGCCTTTGCGGGTGTTTGTGACGGGTGCTACCGGTGGAGCAGGATTTCGCCAGTACCTGGTATAATCACTGATAGTGTTTTATAAACACATGCTCATCAAATAGTCTGAATCGTACAATCGACTCTTCTTTCAGCAGAGAGTTCTTATCAATATGGAAATGGGTTTTGTCGCTTTTATTTAGCAAATACTAAATTTACTTTTGGAATATCTTACATTATTATAAACATATCTCATGTAAAACAGGCATCATATGACAAACGCCAATACCAACCACAGACTTTTTTCATATTCACTATCCATTGCGTGCGATCAAAATCATCGTGCTTCAATATATATATACCAGAGTTTGAAATCACTCTCGCTAAAAAACAACAAAACATACATGCATGAAGTAAAGTGTTTTGAGAAGATCAATATATCAACATAATCAACACTGAAAATGACAATCATACCGCGACCGAGAATGACGTCAGAGCCCCCCAAAGTTGGGTGTGGTACAAAACTCGAGCTTTCAGAATCATGTACAATAGGCAGAGTACATAAACAATCGCTCACGTTCAATAACATGTCATTAGTAGCGTGTGTGACCACCAAATGCCTCAATACACGCAAAAACTCTTCGACGCACAGAAATCGTCTGATGAGGTCACGTGGGATTTGACGCCATTCTTCTTGGAGGGCCAAAATCAGTTCTTGCCGGTTGGCTGGAGAGTGTGGTCGTTGTCGAACACGACGATCCATCAAGTCCATGGGGTGTTCTATGGGGGACATGTCGGGTGAGCGTGCAGGCCACGGCAGGGCGTTGACGTTGTTGGCTGCGAGGAAGTTAGTGACAATTCTGGCTGTATGGGCTCTAGCGTTGTCATGCTGATAAATGACACCACGTGGCTGCTGTTGGAGAAATGGTAGGACAATTGGACGAAGATTGTTATCCATGTAACGCTGAGCTGTCAAGTTTCCGTCAACGATGACCAGCGGTGTCCTCTCCTGCCCACAGATCCCTCCCCACACCATGACACTCCCCCCACCACATGGTACGACCTCCTGCACGCAACACGCCGCCGTTCGTTCACCCTTTCGGTGGTAAACACGTTGTCTTCCATCAGCCCTAAACATACAGAATCGACTTTCCTCAGTGAAGACAACCCTCTTCCAGTCACGTCGAAGGTTCGTGCAATATGGGCGTGGGTGGCTCCCATCTGTACCATACCCAAGGCAGAAACACAATCAGACAGAAGCACAATCTCGAAGGTCTAATCTTATTTTTCATGGGTTACCAGATAAACGGGGAGAGACTTGGTAGGAGAGTGAGCAATCTGTTAGAGCTTTTATGAAAACTTCACTCAATATGGATAATGCCTCTTCACTGAACATCGAGCGTGCTCATAGGTTACATTCCAAATCAAAGTCTAGGCCTCTCATTGTAAGGTTTGCCTTTTTCAAAGACAAATGTGATGTTTTTGATGCTGCCCAAAATTACCTTAAAGGAAATACAGAGTTCAGAGTGTCCGAGGACTTTACACAGAGTGTTCGTGATACGAGATCACAGTTGTTTGATTTTATGAAGCCAGCACGAGACGAAGGCAGGGCCGCTTTCCTCAATTATGACAAACTTTTAATTGACAGGAAAGTTTTTGTCTGTGATGGTGAAAAACATAATATTAAACAAATAGGTTAAAAACGTGGATGGGTCTCTCGAGATATACACCTACTTTCTGAATCGTATCATGTGGCGTCTGATTCGACTCAATAGGATTCCGGCCATGACTTCAGTACTTACAGGAATTCCTCTATTCAATCTGACTTTAATGTGATTGAACTTGAGATGCCACAATATTACCTCCCACACATCCTCGGATTCCTTACCAGTGGTAAATACATATCCGCCTGACACAACAACAAACAGTGACAGTATATCTAAAACTGATCCCAGTATATCAAAGGAGCTGTCAAACACATCTGCTACTGATAATGTCACCCTGGAGAATCCTAACCGCAGTACTGGTATTTGTATCTGGAACATCCATGGCTTGAATTCTGAGTTCATAACATTCTGCAAACAGTGTAATATCTTCTGTTTCTTAGAAACAATATGTACTGGTGCATTAGATATCTTGCAAAACTTATTTAATGAGTATGATGTATTTGTCTGTAATGCCAAAAGATATGCAACTAAAGGTCGGTTTTCAGGTGTCATAGCTGTATGCATAAAGAAATATCTATCGTCACAGTATAAACAAGTTTACTGCCAGTGGGATAATGCCCTTTTTTAGATTGACAAACCCAACCTCTTCTCTGCATTTATTCCTGATATTCATCTATATCCATCCTGAACATTCTACTGTCTATGATAATGAAAATGGAACTGGAATTGACAAGTTGGAAGAGCAGCTCTGTCAAATAATCCATGACTATGGGGAGGGGAGTACATTCATCTTATGTGGTGATTTCAATGCTAGAACAGGAAGTGAAGAGGACTTTATCATGAATGATGAGACTGACTATATACCCATTAATAAAGACTATACATCTGATCATTTTACCCCGTGCGTCATGTGACACACAAATCAACAATTTTGGTAGATCATTGCTAGACCTATATAAAATATTAAGTATCCATATTGTAAATGGAAGATCTACATCTGATAGAAATGGAGATTTTACTTTTGTTTCCCATACTGGGTGTAGTACAGTTGACTACTTTATTGTATTATCTGAGGTTTTCTCTAGGGTTACTGTCAATAGCTGTCCTCTTTATGGTCTAAACGCCCTGATTCCATGAGCCCCGAGTCTCCTGGCCACTGTTTGTCGACTAACCCTGTGACCTAAGGCATTTGTCGCCGATGACGTCACTGTCAGGAAGCGATTTCGGAGGTGCAAGGTACGCAAGTACCGGTCATCATGGGGCGTGGTCACCCTGGGTCTGCCTGTTCTTGGCCTGTCAGCGGTCCGCCCTGTCTGTAACGTTGCATCAAGTTGGTAACGGCAACACGGGAGCAACCGAAGGTTCGTGCAAATGGGCGTAGGTGGCTCCCATCTTTACCATAGCCAAGGCAGAAACACAATCAGACAGAAGCACAATCTCGAAGGTCTAATCTTATTTTTCATGGGTTACCAGATAAACGGGGAGAGACTTGGTAGGAGAGTGAGCAATGTGTTAGAGCTTTTATGAAAACTTCACTCAATATGGATAATGCCTCTTCACTGAACATCGAGCGTGCTCATAGGTTACATTCCAAATCAAGTCTAAGCCTCTCATTGTAAGGTTTGCCTTTTTCAAAGACAAATGTGATGTTTTTGATGCTGCCCAAAAATACCTTAAAGGAAATACAGAGTTCAGAGTGTCCGAGGACTTTACACAGAGTGTTCGTGATACGAGATCACAGTTGTTTAATTTTATGAAGCCAGCACGAGACGAAGGCAGGGCCGCTTTCCTCAATTATGACAAACTTGTAATTGACAGGAAAGTTTTTGTCTGTGATGGTGAAAAACATAATATTAAACAAATAGGTTAAAAACGTGGATGGGTCTCTCGAGATATACACCTACTTTCTGAATCGTATCATGTGGCGTCTGATTCGACTCAATAGGATTCCGGCCATGACTTCAGTACTTACAGGAATTCCTCTATTCAATCTGACTTTAATGTGATTGAACTTGAGATGCCACAATATTACCTCCCACACATCCTCGGATTCCTTACCAGTGGTAAATACATATCCGCCTGACACAACAACAAACAGTGACAGTACATCTAAAACTGATCCCAGTATATCAAAGGAGCTGTCAAACACATCTGCTACTGATAATGTCACCCTGGAGAATCCTAACCGCAGTACTGGTATTTGTATCTGGAACATCCATGGCTTGAATTCTGAGTTCATAACATTCTGCAAACAGTGTAATATCTTCTGTTTCTTAGAAACAATGTGTACTGATGCATTAGATATCTTGCAAAACTTATTTAATGAGTATGATGTATTTGTCTGTAATGCCAAAAGATCTGCAACTAAAGGTCGGTTTTCAGGTGTCATAGCTGTATGCATAAAGAAATATCTATCGTCACAGTATAAACAAGTTTACTGCCAGTGGGATAATGCCCTTTTTT